AAGACAAATGGGATACAGTTTGGAGATCTTTTCCTTTGCACAAAAATCACTTTTTTAAATTTTATAATAAAAGGAAGATATTAAATATGGAAATTTCAATATTAAGTTCATTGGTTCAGTTTTACAGGAGGTTTTCCAAAGATAACACCAGTGCCTCTCCATATCTCACTTCTGATTAAATGTTATCTTCTTTAAAAGACTCTACGGATCACAAAAATAATGATATCATAAAACATAAATTTTTCTAAGACAGTTTTCATGAGAAAATCATAATACTTAACATCCTAGCTTCCCAACTGATTATAATTATATTGCTTTGGGCTTATATAGCATATCTGCCCCAGGGAAATTAAAAATCACAGATAAACCAGATTTTCCGGATGTGTATATGTGATGCTCTGGGCAATATTCAGTCATTTCAGAAGACACAGTGGCTCAAAAAGAGCACTTGGAATTAAAAGAAGTACATCTGTGAATAGAACTCACTCAAGATTAACCATGGATAGTGGTTATTTGCCATCTGATAAACAGTTAAATTCTTCTTTGATCTATTAGGATTGCTAGAATAAAACAGTATGAATTAAGTGCATTTACACAACAGAAATGTATAACTCCATAGTTTCAGAGGGAAGAAGTATAAAATGAAGGTAGTTACTAGTTTTCCCCTGAGGGCTATGTGGAAAGATCTCTTTCCATTAGGGATAGCAGACAAGAGGATTAGGTTGTCCATTAAGTACCTCACACTAATCTGATTACCTCTGTAAAGACACTATTTCCAAATAAGGTCACAATCGGAGGTCCTGAGAACTAGTTCAATATATGAATTGAGGGAACATAATTCATCCCATGACAAATACCATATGGTCTCTTCACTTTACCATAAAATGATTTTCATAAGATTAAATTAGATTAATTATAAAACATTACCGTTCATGACATGTAAAATGAAGCCTCAAATTAATTACATTGAGAGGGAAATTTGTTATTCTCAAATCTGAAAGGTAACTAACAAGCTATGAAGTCATTCACAGAATGGCTTCTGGTAGTCATTACATTGGTTAGATTTAACTGTACACGAACATATAAACGTAAAAACAAAGGTGAACACAAAAACAGATAAAGCTAGTTAAACACAATATATCGATATATTTTAATGAAATAATAGGGCTTCAGAGTTCAAAGTAACTGCAGTCAGATTGGATATTTATTGAAGCTGTGTCTATATTATTGATTCTTTTTATAATTTGAGATATCAGAATCAAACATTTCCATTTAATTAATCCTACTTTCTAGATCTATGAACCTATTGTAAAACAAATAGACATTTTTCAAAGAAATCAACATTTATATGTGTTATTTATCCAGATAAAATTTTGTTATAGATAACCGCTTTTATATAATTTACCCATGTCATGTAATTTTAAAATTCACTAAAGGAAAATATTTATGTTAAAAAAGGTTCTACAAGCAATACTCAATTCTTTTGCTTATCACAAAGAAAAAGTAATCTCCTTAATTATCCATAATACCTGAAGCATGAATATTCCAAAACAGAATGAAATTGTTTATTTATTTGTTAATGATTTTTATAAAAATTTGCTCAGTGAAATCCATTTCCCTCATTACCCAATACATAGGATTTTTTTAAGGTTAAAAACACTTGGTAATTTATAATATAAATAATTTATAATATAAAATTTAAATAATGGTTTCTAATATATTATATATTAACTATAATATGTATTTCTAGTATAATATAAAATATATTATAAATGATAAATTATATATATAAAATATATTATATATAATAATATATTATATCTAATATATCATAGTATTATTTAGGTGACATATCTTCATTATCAAAGACCAGGCTTAGTCAGTTTGGCAGTAAAATTGAGGAATTTTAATTTATAAAATAATCAGATTACATTACTTATCCAACAAGACATATAATTGAAACAAAACAAATAGGGAAAACTATGTCTGGAACATTGATGCAGCTATGAATGTGCCTGTGCAATGCAGAAGATGCTCTCACAGCGTGACAACCACAATTTCTTAGCCATTAAACAAATACAAGTTTGAACCATTGGAATCTACAGGACTTCTGAAATGCATAACAAAAATAGCAAGATTTTCTGGTTTCCTGAAAATTGTTTTTTGTGAAATTTAAATTGAGAAAAAAGTCATAAAATCTGTCATAATTATGAAAAGCAGACTTCAATGAAGTCACGTATTTGTTCATTCATTATTTGTTCTTCTCATAGTTCTTAGAAGTAAGCCTTTTTAAAAGGTTTTTGTTTGAGAAGTGACCCTAGGAAGCAGCATTTTATTATTTTTATAGGAGACTTCTTTTCATTACATCCTTCAAAGTATGCTGACAATGGATGTGATAAATTTGTCTTTCAGTGGATTCTGATGAAAGGCTGAATAGGGCTTTCTATAAAGAAATATGGAAATCTAAGTGAGAAAGAATAAAGCATTCAAGATTTCTTTTTCTTTCAAAATTGACGTTGGTTCTTCTGAGGTAAAAGTAATCAGGAAATTCTTTTCCTGTCACATCTTTGTTGTTGTTGTTGTTTATTGTTCTTGTTGTTGGTGGTGGTGGTGCTGGTTCTGGTGGTGCTGGTGGTGCTGGTGATGCCAGTCTGGGGGCTTGAACTCAGGGACTGGGAACAATCTCTAAGCATTTTTGCTCAAAGCTAGAGCTCAACCACTTGAGCCACAGTTCTGCTTTTTTGTTTGTTTGTTTTGTTGTGTTCTATGGTTAGATTTTTGGAGACAAGAGTCTGACAGACTTTCCTGCCCAGATTAGCTTTGAACCATGGTCCTCAGATCTCAACCTTTTGAGTTGCTAGGATTACAACTGTGAACCTTCAAATGCCTAGCACTTTGTCACATCTTTTAATAACTCTGAGAATGTGCCATTGCTCAGTATTCAATAAACTGTGACCTGAGACTAGAATTATCTGGAAAGATCCTGTGCTCTCACTTCATTTAATGTCATTGTTTACATTCCATAATAGCAAAATTGAGCATAGACCAATTATAAAAATATTTACTAACTTCCCCTTTACTCAAGTATTTTGCCAGTTCCTAATGTTTGAGTCTAGGAATGAAACTCTTACAGTAGAAACTATCATAGTAGAAACTTTTAAAAATAAATGGCTCTGAATCAGGAAATGTTAATTTAAGCAAACACTTTATGAATACATTGAAATAAACATAGTAAATGCCCATCTGTACAAATCTTTGTAGATTATTAGCAATTAAACTTCTATTCTCATCAATAAAACCAAAATAATAACTCCTTCATAGGGTGACCATAAGGGATAAAATAGCCAGTGTAAGATACAATAGCTGTTCACTCTTTTTCTTTCTATTATCAAAGTTCTCTGCTTTGATTTATTGATTGATAAATATTTATTAGTGATGCATAGTCTTCTATATAAATGTGTCTATTTAAAGTGTTTCACTAAGAGCAATACTACTTTCACTCTATCAACACATTCATTTTGCTTTGTACGTAGAATTCTGAATATGGCAATTAAACTATTTCTTCATGTAGATAATAATTAGGGTTATATAACTGAGAACATAAGCTCTAAAGGCTTAAAAGTTAATGTCTTTGAAGAAAGAGACTTTACAAAGTACACAACTTAGTACAATTTTTGATATTAAGTAAAGTAAGGCAGACCCAAAGAAATATAGGTTGCATGGTTTCCCTCATTTGTTGTAACTAAGATGTGCCTATAAATCTCCAGTAAACACACTGATGGTAAAAGACAAAATAATACTAGTGTACATAATGTATTATATAAAACTCTAGCCATTCACATAGTGAGACCAAAGGAAGATATTCTAGAAGAGAATCACCAAGGTTCAATAGCTATGTGCATATGATCACATAAAATGATGTTTATCTAAATGGAAATGAGCTTTTTTTGTTAAGTTTACTGGTTTTTTTTAATGGTTTGTTGCTGTTTTCAATTTCTAAACTATCTTCTAGGAAAGTTTATCTGTTTGGGGGAGGGTAAGTGTTAAATGGTGGGACAAAGAGAAAACAAATGCAGCAGTGGTACTCACTAGATTCTATGTTGAAAATGAATTGTACAACTTGTGGGGGAGAGGTGGTGTTGGGAGGGAAAAACTGGGAGAAAATGAGGGAAGAGGTGACATTGTTCAAACAGAAATGTGCTCATTACCTGATTTATGTATCTGTAACACCTTTGTACATCACCTTTACAATAACAGCATAGTAAAATAAAATAAAAACATTCACAACTATCATTAAAGCCAAGAGATGTTAACAATTCAGAAATTGTACTTCACTGTCCAATGTTTAGGATGTCTGCTGAATAAAAATACGCATTTTCATTCATATAAAACTCCAACAGCTTTTGTTTTTTGCTTGTTTGTTTATTGGTCTTGGGGATGGAACGCTGGGCCTGGATGCTGTCTCTCAGCTCTTCAGCTCAAGGTTAGCACTCTACCGCTTGAGCCACAGCGCCACTTCCAGTTTTCTGAGGGTTAATTAGACTTAAGAATCTCACTGACGTTCCTGCCTGGAGTGGCTTTGAGCCACAATTCTCATATCTCAGCCTCCTGAGTAGCTAGGATTATACACAGGAGCCACCAACGCCCGGTTCCTGAAGTTTTTGTTTGTTTGTTTTGTTTTGTTTTTTATGCATTTACTATCAATGTATAAAACAGCATTGCTGTTTCCCTAATCCCTTCCATAAATCTGTGCTATTCTTTACTCTAAAAAGGCATTAGGTAAAGTGGTTATTTTCTTGGTAAAGTGATTATTTAGAGCACCAATGTGTTTCCCATTTTAATTAAAGAATGTAATGAAGGTTAGTTATGCTTTCAGTATGCCTCTCAAAATCTCTTTAATATTTTGCCGCTGAATTGTTAGATGAATAAACTTGTAGATATCCCTATGCTATTAAATATTTTTAAGCATTATGCATTCCTTCCATAGGAGGAAATCCTACTTAGCTCTAGTGTCAGCAATTTCAGGAAGTCTTGGACATAGTCTCCAAGAGTGCGGATGTGCATCCTGGATCCATACAGACCAACCCTTTTGTTTATGCATTATAGACCTGCCACAGTATATCATAACTGACTGACAAAGCAGGTGTGGCAGGAATGGTGCCTGATATGGATGTCAGGAAACTTCGAGAAGAGTAGCAGGGTACTGCTGGATGGGGTACTGCAGAGTCTGCTAAAAAGGGGGCAAGGATCTTGCTCGTGGAAAATGAAAAGGAGTAGAGATAGAACCTGAGGAGACAGAAATGATTGGTAACCCTTTTCAGTGTTGGGCGTGGGTCCTATACTTTGTCCTGGTAGCCTGGGAGAGACAGAAAGAAAATTCTAAACTTCGTGTTAAGAAAAACATATTGAGAACTTTGTTTATAGATGGTAGAAAGTTTATAGGAGGAAGAAGAAGCAGGCTAAGGAGGGAGAGTATCACCCATATTTTACAGGTAAAGGTATTGTTGGGAGGTGCTCATAAGCTCTAGGCTAACTCTAAAGCTCTGGTTTTGTCCTACGTTTAAATCTTGACTCAGAACAACTGTATCTGTGAAACATTTTTGTATATAATTGTACTCCTTCCTAAATATTGTTAAAGACAACAATAATTTATATTTATAAATTTCTGGCTGTGTAACTGAAATTGAGATAATCAAAGATCGAAAGTATGCCACATCTTTTAATTGTTTTTTTGTTTGTTTTCTTTGTTTGTTTGTCTGTCTTGGAACCTGAATTCTGGGCCTGGGCACTGTCCCTCAACTCTTCAGCTCAAGGCTAGCGCTCAACCACTTGAACCATGGCACCACTTCCGGTTTCTTGTGCTTATGTGGTGCTGAGGAATTGAACCCACGGCCTCATACATGCAAGGCAACCATGCTACTACTGAACTACCTTCCCAACCCCAATTCTTTTTTTTTTCTTTCTTTCTTTTTTTTATTGTGAATACAGTACAGAGGGGTTACAATTACATGGGCAAGGTAATGAGTACATTTCTTATCAAGCATTGTAGCCTCCTCTTTTGTTTCCCCTTCCCATCCCTTCTCATGTCCCTCCACCCAGTCCCTCCCCCCTAACCTCCAAAATTGTAAAGTTCGTTTTTCGACATAACGTGTTGTACATCTCATTGTTGCAATGGGTCCACCTGTATCTCTATTTAAACAATTGTTTTTTTCCCTTCCCCTCCACAAATTATACCAACATCAAATACAGTGAAAACAGGAGTTATATCATGGGGGAGAGGGGACATACAAAGCAACAAAGAAATCATCTTATAAATATGTTCGAAACAATCTCAAGAAAGAAAAAAAACATTTGAATCCTTATCTTGAGGTTCATTTCGCCTAACATCAACTTATCTGACCATTTCTGCTTGTCTCAGACATATACTAGTTATTGCAAATAAGGGAAACCATGAGACCTATGTTTCTTTGGGCTTGGATTACTTCACTTAATATAATTTTTTCCAATTCTTATTCTCTAAACTCACCCTCTTTGCTAGCCATATCTGAGAGTTCATTTTGCTTTAGTATTAAAGGAAGTCAAAGAAAGTTATTTAAACTCTATCCTAAACAAACTTGAGATGGTAGAAATATTTGTACAATGATTTTTATATAGACTTAAATATAAAATATTTTATATATTTATGGATATTCGGTTGAGAGAGAATTAGGTTACAGAAGTCTTTGGTAATTCTGATTTATATGGGCCAAAATTAATCAATACTTTGTAAACATAATGCTTCATCTTGAAAAAGGTAAAAGAAACTCATTAACCCCTTTTGCTCACTTTGGCTGAGGATTTAAAGTAATAGCCAGGTGCAATAGTATGAACCTATAATCCCAGCATTAAGGAGGCTGAAGCAGGGAGCAGTTAGCCTAGACTACCTAGTGAATTCCAAACTATCACAGAGTATTTATCAAGATTCTGTTTCTAAAAAAAGAAAGATAAAGGGAAGGTAGAGTAGGAGAAAAAAGGAGGGATAACAACGTTCAACAAGAAATGTACTCATTACCTTACTCACGTAATTGTAACCCCCTGTACAACATCTTTACAATAAAATAAAATTTGAAAACACACACACACACACAAGGAAAGAAAATGACAAGGAAAGAATGAAAAAAGAGAGGAAGAAGAACAAAGAAAGGAACAAAAGGAAAAAGGAAAAAGAGAAGGGAAGAAAAAGTGTAGCCATTTCTATGCTTCAAAAAGCAGATTTCATGACATCAGATAATACATTTCTTGAACACCATGTCAAGTAAAGAGAAGACACAAAATGCCATGAGCTTAGCCTGAGTTTCCAGCTATTTTAAGTGTCTTCTCTGCTGTAATTAGTCAGAAGTGACCCTTCTAAGCAGCCAGTGCTGCTGTGGCAAGAATCCGGGCTGGTTGCACAGAAAATATGCTCCATTTGCATCTCTTTCCTTTGCTGTACATCCTCCTGCAAACCATAGAAGACCCAGTTTTGATCTACTTGCACTGGGTAAATGTAGGTTAGCAGGAAACAAACAGACAGCATAAAGAGCTTTTAATTTGTAGGTTGTTTCTTACTTCTGTGTAATACTTCAAAATTTGAAATGCAAGGCTGTATACACCATACTAATGCTTTTTCCTGACTTAAGTTGGCAGCTAATCTTCTTATCTCAAAGTAGGAGAATTGATGCCCAGAGAGATTTTTCTAGCAAGCAGTAGTGCCAGGGCTAAAACCTATAGGTCTGAGCTTAGTTAACTCTATAAACTGCAACTAGAATATTCACAAATGCCTAATTACTTATCAGGCAAGAGTCTAAACACAGGGCCTTAAAACTTTCCTGATATTTGCATTCCAGTGAGGACATATTATATTTGAGTTTGCTTTTTAAGGTCAATTTGAGAACTAAGACAAGTTTCATTTTGACTTTCTCCAACGTAGCTGATACAAGAGCCTCAGATCAAAATTTCAAAACAGTAACAAAGGCAAAATAACCTAATCACTATGCTATTCACCCATAACAATGACTTCATACTATTACTTCAGCCAAAGGAAAGTGCTTATATTTAAAATAAGAATGCAATTTAGATTTATGAAGTTATGCAGCAACATTAAATTAAGTCTTTGGCTTTGGATGGGTTATTTAATCTAAAATCTGAATCTTATTTAAATTTCAGATATTTAGAAATATGATCTTCACTATTCCAAACCTTAATGCACAACAAACAACTGAATAGCTCAAGGGGCTATTGAAATTCAATCATAAACATAATAGTATTTGGAAATCTTTTTCTGTATAGTTATTTTCTAAATGTGATCAGCACAAAAGAAATTAGGAAGGAATTATGAAAAAGCATCTTACATTTCTGTTCACATTTGGTTTGACATGAATTGTAAACATAATAAAAACTGAGATTACAGATCCACAATTGGAACAGTAAATGAACAGTCTGATTTGGTATTCTGTACTAGGGTACTAGAAAAAATGTAAACACTTGATTTTGTCATTTAAACTGTACATCTTATAGAAAATATACTGTCATCAATTAGGTGAAGCAGTATTTTATTCCCTTCCAAAATTCCTTTATTTCAATGTACCTGTTCTTTCTGTGTTGAAGTTTATAATGACTTTGCAAGCAATCTTAAAATAATGTGTGGTTATTTTACCCATAGATTAATGTTGTAATAGGGTATCTCTCATTTATTAATTTATTTACTCAATTTCCATCCAATAGTCATGCATTTATCCAGCCATACAGCAATGTGTCCAATTTTATTGTGCATTTACTATGATCCAAGCATTGCTCTATGTTATGAGAATGAAAAGGATGGACTTAGACTCTGCTCTACCTAATTTTTAGAGAGTTGAGACACTTTTACCATTCTCTTACTGGCATTGTCCATCACCCACAGATCTATAACATTTGCCAAAATTAAATCTGGAATTTTCTTTGAATATTTTATAAATTTTTACCTTGAACAACTAAAATTATATGTTCAAGTGAATTTTGAATTCCAATTTTCTCACAATATCCATTACAACGAGGTACCTACCCACTATCCTGTCTTCCATAATGGTGTTTCAAGTAGGACAAGATCTGAGCAGAAGAGTAGGGCCTTCTCTGTTAGGAATAAATACCTGGATAGATTGCCTGCTCTGTGTGCTTGTTTGCCAGATTTTTGGCTGGTGGCACTCCTGTCTACAGAAATAAATTTGCCTTGCTGAAACAATAATAAATAAATAAATAAATAATAAAAGTAGATTGAATAATTACCCCAGTTATAACATTGTACCAGACTGAAATAAAATGATCAGATATTGAATGGTTAATAAAACATTTATAGCAAGTTAATGCTATAAATGTCTGCAAATCTTAGAATAATTGCTCGACTTACATTGCTACTAAGAAATATTCAGATGAAATCATGACAACTAAAATAAAAGCATCCATCTTTATTGCACAGACCTTCGTTTCCACCATTAATGGTACTCTGCAAAACTCTAGACTGGATGGTAAGGTCCCATGGAGCCTGGGTGCCTCTGGGGGCGTGGCCGCATGCTGGCTCAGTCTGTATTTCTCATTCTGCTTTCACTAACAAGTAGAAGAGCATCTCTAAGTAATCTGAAACATTTCAAAGCTTTCAGGAACAGCCATAAGTGGTTCTTTAAAATGAACTGAATTCAATTACAGCATTATTGGATTATGGTATTAATTAGGGATTATGTTATTGATTCATTTTCATAAACTATTTCTTAATGAATTTCTGCCTCTATCATGAGGTACATGGTCTTTTACATCTAATTATGTTAATTTGGAAGCAGGAAAGTAAATGTGGCTCATAGATTAAACTGAACTTATAAAAGTGGCATATAGATTGTCTGGATATAACTCATGCTTGTGGATAAAAGCAAAATAGATTTTAAATGGTGTAATATTCTTATAAACAAAGTCAATAGTAGAAACTTCATAAAAGACTTAAAGTCATCATACACACACTTTCTCTACAGAAAGATATCATATTAATTTATTATTGATAATTCCCATATCTTAACATA